GGCCAGCAACCAGCTTCCCACAGGCAACCTAGCCTTACACTAGCTAGCCTTGCTCTCAATCCTGCAGGGGGAGGGCACAAATCATACCACTTGGGGCATAAGAGTTGTGTGTCCACTCATCCGTGACATCGGTTGATTCTGATCCTCTGGTTGATTCTATATATCTGGACACCTCTTCGGCCAATTATGTTACAACTGAGTACTTTGTAAACTATGCCATGAGAGGTAGAATCAAAGTGTTGGGAAGGGTCCAGAAAACAACATGTAATGTTTGCTTTCATCCAGCAGACTTGTCACTAAACACAATCCGTTCTGCAGAGGCCGATCTTCAAGGAATCACAGCATCACACCAGTTACCTCCCAGTCAAGGGCGACTCATGGTGACAAAGTTGAAATGTGCGCCACAGGGTTTTCCAGAGCTGACTTTTTCACAAGTAGATTGCCCGTCTTTTCTTCTAAGGCACCCCTGGGTGAACCTGAACTTCTAATTTTTGGATTAGCAGTTGAGGACAGTAACAATTCATATAATTTAGGAACGTACACTGGCTATAAATTCATCAGTTGATTGTTTTCTTTCTGTTTAACAAGCACAACATGATTTCAGCTTCCAAATCTATTCGTGTGTGTGTGTGTGTGTATGACTGAGTGAAGGTTTACACACAAGATCATTAGTTAACATTCAATAAATCATACGCTTTGTTTCGTCTTAATGATTGCAATCCCCTCCATGCAACAACAGTTGCCCTGTTTCCTCCCTGTGGTTACCCTGTACAAATATCTTCTTTCAAACTCATATTTGTGGGATATATAAATATATATACCCCACTCTTCTCTATATACCCATTCAACTTGTGTCTCTGTCCATGCATGTATGCACAGAACACTGCTGTTCCACGGTACACTTCTATCCTCTTTAACCCTTGTATACCTCATCTTCATTGTTCTTCTGCCACCCTCCCCCCCCTTCTTGTATAATGCCCTCTCCATTACCCACGTTAACATGTGTCTACCCTCTAGTCAATGAATTACTCTTCCTTCCCTTCCACCCCTCGTAACCATCAAAGAATATTTCTTTTATCATGAAAACCTTTTCTTCAGTTTTTACGAGTGGTCTCATACAACATTTGTCCTTTTGTGATTGACTAATTTCACTCAGCATAATGTCCTCCACGTTTATCTATGTTATGAGGTGTTTCACAGATTCACCATTGTTCCTGAATGTTACATAGTATTACATTGTGTTTATGTACCAAAGTTTGTTTATCCATCCATTCTTCCAGTGATGGACACTTAGGCTGTCTCCATCTTTTTGCTATTGTGACTAATGCTACAATGAACATCAGTATGCATAGATCTACTCATGGCCTGACTCATATTTCTTGTGGATATATACCAAGCAGAGGGATTGCAGGGTTGTAAGGTGTTTCTATTTCCAACATTCTGAGGAAGCACCACACGGTTTTCCAGAGTGGTTGCACCATTTTACAGTTGCAGGAGGGCCCCAATCTTTCCACACCTTTGCTAGCATTTGTTGTTTTCTACCTTTTTTTTTTAACCAAATCCATTCCTTTTATGTATTAAATATTCATGACTGTGGGCATCCATCGACTCTCACACAATACATTATTTATATCGGTTCTTTCTTGCTGGACTGCTGAAGGGACCTCATGAGCAATGCTTCAAGACTTGAGCACCACTAACTCCTACCTGGGAGTCATTTATTTCAGCATTAACTTTTCACATTAGAACATCTCAGTCTCATTTTACAGTTCTTTACTGTAGCTTGTAAACAGATGGAGGAAATGTCTGCCATCCCAATTTACCACCTCTGGGCACCAAGTTTCCTTTACAGTATAATCTTAATACATATTTCAGTCCACAAAAGCTTCCCAGTTCAAATGTTCAATGGACTCTTAGGAAGACACACCCAAATACTTAGACATGGAGTCCACGGTTGGGTCTTACACTGCTCTCCCACAGACATGCAGAGGGGCCTCATAGATGTCACTTATCACCTCTGTTATTAATAGCCATCGAGTCGGTTCTGACCCATAGTGACCCTATCCAAGGAGCACCTTACAGTCCAGCTCATTAACCCACAGCGCTACACCAAGACTCCTAACACCTCTGGACTCTTGTTTTTCTATCAAAACTATAAAACAAGGGTTAAGCTCTTTTACTAATAGAGGAAAACAAATATCTGGGCAAAAAAATGTTTAAATTATATAAAAGTCCTAAGGAGGATTTATGAGCAGAGTATCAAGCATGTTAGGGTAATTTCAAAATTTTTGATATAAAAATCATAGCCAGAACCAAACCCAGCACCAATGAGTCAATTCTGACTCAAGGTGACCCTACATAGGGTTTCTAGCACTGTAAATGGACTTCTGGTGTGGTGCCATAGGATCAGCACTGGACTGCAAAACACTAGGACAGCAGTTCTACCCTATCAGCTGCTTCTTGCTATGAGTTAAGTGCTGTCCAGTCAGTTCCAACTCATAGTGACCCTGTATAGAGTTTCCAGTCCCAAACACTGACTGGTGGGCTTGAACTACCAACCTTTGGTTCACAGTCCAATATTTATCCTACAGAGCCACTAGGGAAGCATTTATTAAACAAATAATCCAAATGTGAAGCTATTGCTTCTTGACACATCCTCCACCTGGGTTTATATACATTTCTGAAGGTGGTGTTTCCATCTCTCTGAATTCTTCCCTAAAGAACTCTATACTCTTCGACTTACACCATGTCAAAGTGGCAGTTCTGACATCCCTGAGGGACTCAAATCATGTTCCTTTTCAAAGTTCTTAGAGCTTTGGGAACAAAAGAAGTCTGAAGGGACATGATCGGGGTTGGAGGGTAGATAGGGTAGTTTCCCAATGAAATTTTCATGGGACAGCTCTTGCTACCCTCAAAGAATGTGCAGGTCCCTTGTCATGATGAAAGAAAATTCCTCAGTTCAATTCTCTTGGACTTTCTCTCACAACTGTAGTTTTTAATTTTCTTAAAACGTATTTATTTCTAATAACCCCTATGTCCTTTGAGAAAATCTGTCAAGATGACCCCTTCAGAATCCCAAAAATCAGTGGTGTTGTAGCATAAAGCACTGGACTACAAAGTCAGTGGTTCAAACCCACCAGCTGCTCCACAGAAACTCTATATACAGTGATGTTATGAGTTGGAATTGACTCAATAGCACTTAACAACAACAGAACTAGCCTTGCTGATCTCTCAGCCTTGACCATAAGGAACTGGTCCTGCATATCCCATCAGAAGCCACTGTTATGACTGGACCTTTTTTTTTTAAGGCGGCCCCAGATGAAAGGAAGATGAGTAAATTACAGAGAGAACTGATCTGCTGCAGTCATCCTCTGATCACAGGGACACGCTTAAACTCCTTTTATTTGTAATCAACTCATGTGTATGAACTGGAACTCTAGTAACATACTTTTTGATTTACCTTGTATTTGTGTTAGAGAACCATTAGGAAAATAAGACAAGTGATACCTAAGGAGACCCTCACATGGCAAACAGGTACTTGCAGCTGTTTGCCAACTCTGACAGCATTTATAAGTTGGCCCAACTCTTTGCCTAAAGCAAGTCTAGCCTCACTCCAGAGCACTACACGCAGACTGTCTGTCCGTTGCGGTGGTTTCCCACACATCATGCTTGGCACCAGGCAAACGATGTACCCATCCTTCTAACAGCCAATCCTTCTTCTGCCCTTTCTGTCTGTGACTGTCAGACAGAAGGTTCAACTCACTAGAAGACAGCACTGGGGTTTCTCTACCAGCACCTACCTCCAACAAGTGTCCAACCCAGACAGTGGTTACACACAGAGAGACCTCACAGAAAGCCAATCTACATTTAAGATTACACATACGTTCCTAAGGCTGGTGTGCAAATAGGCTAGCAAATTCATCAGATGGTTTCCTCTGGTCAGAATGCAGAGTGACCAGAGGTTCACAGCATGTTTTCCTGTCCACAGCGTCACCCTTTCACCACGTCAGTCCCCTCATCCACAGCAGGGACTGAGCCTCTTCCCCACATGGAGAAGGTCAGGAGCAAGGTCATAGACAGGTCCCAAGGGCCAACCCTGGCCCTCATGTATGTTTTACTTGGTCCACAGTGTTTGTAAAAACTAACCACTGGCTGCCAACTTTTAAGACTAAGCAGTATCCAATAAAAATCCAGACTTCTGGGATTCTCTGAAAACATCAGGTCTGGCAACACTGGGCCCCCATTCTTGCAGGGCAACCATAGTTTAGAAAGTGATTGACAACTATTTTCCAGTTTGCCAAATTCCCTCTGCTTCCTATATCTCCCCGACACTGAGAAGAAGTATCAATCACCACATTCAAATTAAGACTAAGGTGAAATCATTTCTTAAACCTATTATCACTATCAAAAGTAGGACTTGACATTTTTATTTGTATAAGTAGAACGTTATTAATTTAAAGGTGGCTTCAATTCTATCCATTACCTGCCTGGCCTTTGAATTTGTAAAGACCAGGCAGATAATAGATAGAATGGGTGGGCCTAACAAATATTTATTATATTATATTAAACATCATTAAACTAATAAATAAAAACTTTGGAAATTAAGACTATGAGAAAATCAGCTTCCACAGCTCGCACAACTGGAACAGGTTAGGAGAAATCAGCACATGGGAAAGTCCAGTTAGATTCCAACTGGCACTGTGGCCGGCGGGCAGCTCTGCCCAGGAATGTACTTGTGGCATTTTGTTGAGCAAATACAATGTTCCAGATCAATCCCTGTCACTTCACAAAGTAATAACACGTTGCACCGATCTGTTTGCAACACTGAGTGCACCACCCTGCATTCAGCAAACAAGGGATATATTATTTTCTGAATTCTCTTCCACATCATATAATTCATCCGACCATTCTCCACTCACCCACTCTTTGCATCCCAGTGGTTCATAAAACGGCATGCTGACAGCCCAGGAGAGGGGCCAGAGCCACACACAAATACTTACATCACTGCTCTTGGGCCTTGTCAATGCCAGGCTGTCTCGAGCTAAGGCCACGATCACATTGCTTTTCTCTCCGGCCCAGTGTACCACCATCTGATTGTGGGAATCATTCAGACTAACCTGAAAAAGATCACAACATGGGAAATCATGAGTATGGGCCATAAACCTTCCAGATCAAGATTTTCTCTCCATTGTCACTCAGAATTGATTCCAATTCCTAAATCTCTTGGATTTGAAGGGCTGGGCTGGGTTAGCCTATTCCCTTCCCCACCCCAAGTATAACCCACCAGACTCATCCTCCCCAAGAGGAAACACAAGTTCCCCGCTATTCTGGCTATAAGTAAATTGCAGAAGATCCTTTCTTTCAGGCTCTCATTCGTTTGCTTATTTTTATCCATTGCAACATCTCAGTCTCTTGTTCCTCTCATCCTTGCTCCACATGCATGACACAAGCACTTTAAGTTTTAACCCAAAATAGTGAAGCATCTCCTCCTTCAAGAATAATGCACTGGCCAGAATGACCCCACCTCTGTTCTTGGACCTACAATGCTGTTCAACCTTAGCTCATAATGAGGAACAAGAGGAAAGCATCTCTGTGCTGTTTCATTTTTAAGTGTCTCAAATAAGGACATCTTTTCCAGGGCTAGAAAGAAATTCCCTTTGGGTTAACAGTTCCCATACTTTTGGATTTCATACCAGTCCAACAAAAATTAAAGTAAATTAGGAAGGCCAGCAAAGAATTGGTTGGCAACTTCTATGTTGCCACATTAAGGGCATTAACAAGAGCATCCTATCAGAGTTTGACTAGTTCTCCAAATCCACTTCCTCATCTTCCTGATAACACAGCCAGATTCACTCCCCCAGGCTGCTTTGCAGGGAGGGCTGGCCCTGGGGCTGAGTTATCAGTACCACCACCAGTTGCAGCCCCACACAGGTACTGCATACCATCCACTGTTTTCTTTGCCTGTCCACAGGCCTGACGGATAGCAGAGCCTCAAGATGGAAGGAACCTGCCACCCTGAGGAAGAAGGTCCTCCACTAAGCTAATCATGTACAGTCATGTTGAACTTCCATGGAGGGATGATAGGCTGGGTTAAACCACAGAGCTTCTGGGATTCATCTATTCTACAGCTAAACCCAATCCACTGCCATCAAGCTGATTTTGACTCAGTGACCCTTTAGGACAGAGTAGAACAAAAAATCCCCATAAGGTTTCCAAGGCTGTAATCTTTACATCTTTACAGAAGCACACTGCTGGAGTGGCTGGTGGTTTGAACTGCCGACCTTTCAGTTGATAGCCATGGATAGCCATGTACTACCAGAGTTCCTTCATTACATAGTTAAGTGGTTGCACAGGATTAATGCACTTGACTGCTAACCAAAAGTATAGAAGTTCGAGTCCACCCAGGGGTGCCGGGGAAGAAAACCACAGATGGCAGTGTTGTTTTACTGATACAATCATCATTGATAATTACCATCATTGTTTCAAAGAAAGAGGATTTCAACACACCTGAAATTGAGTAAGGATATTGGCGCTACAGGATAAGCATGGGACTGCTAACCACAAGGTCGGCAGTTCAAACCCACTCCTTGGAAACCCTATTCAGGGGCGCTGTAAGTCAGAACTGACTCAACAGCACTTATCAACACACTCCTAGAATAAAAAGTTCTTTGTTTTAAATTTTAAAAAATTTATGAAAAACTTCATTACTTTTTCTCATTTCACAGTTACCTAGTGGACACCAGTCCAAGCGCTGGAATTTTAGAACAAGGCAATAAATTCCATCCTCTCTGTGAGAATAGCAAAGTGTTGGCTATAATTTCAAGCTTTTGAAACCAGTGTAACATTCATAATCAGGATAACCCCACACTACCACCACCAAAATGAAGAGCAGGTGCTTTTTCTTGCAAAGTGGAGAGAAGCCTCTTCCAACAGCCTCCTCCACCTGAGCTGTCTCTAGCCCATGTAAAAGGAGATCAAGCTTCTGAGACCTCGAGTAGCCTCTGCACATACCAGACTGCATGTCCCACCCTCACCTATTGGAGTGAATGATGCAAGCTCAAGTCTACAGAGACCTGTCTTTTCAGTGTCTGTCTTACCAAGACTGGGTGCAAAAAGCACTCCCCCCTCTGGTCTCTCCCTGTCTCCTTCCCTTCCTCACCCACCACGCACGCACGCCCTAACCTTCCCACCCACTCCTTGAGGTGTTCTCAGATGTCACCAGGGAGAAGGGAGACACCTGTGCCAATAATTTGGCAGTCAGGAGGACAAAGGAGCTAACTAATCCTTAACCGTTTCACTTTGCATCTCCAGCTAAACCCATCTAATCTGATCCAGGATCCCGATTCTTTTTAAGAAATACACTATTTGAAATTAGACCTTTTTATTAAAAAAAAAAAGATCCTTGGTATTTTTTCAAGAATATATGTTGATCCAAAATGTCCCTTCCACTCCTGAAGATGGGAGGAGGTCCAGGCAATCACCAACAAAGCAGTGAAAATAAAGTACCAAGCAGATTACCTAACTCAACGAGCTACAGAGAGAAAACTGATGAGGAATTCTCCACCAGCTGCTGCAGCCTTAAATCAGCCTTCCTAGTTCCCCTTTCTCCTTCCAGTCCAAGTCTCCGGGAAGAAATCTGCAAGCATAAGATCTGAGCCCACCCGCAAAAGCGCCCTGGGAGCTCAGCACAGACATCTTCTCCCTTGCAGCCTAGAAAAATAAATAAATCAAACTCACTGCCTTCAAGTTGATCCTGTCTCGTGGCAACCCCTTGTGTTAGAGCAGAACGACTCTGTAAGGTTTCCTTGGCTATAATCTTTATGGAAGATTGGCCAGGGCTTTCTTCCATGGTACAATTGGGTGGTTTCAAACAACCAACCTTTCACTTAGTCATCGCCATGATGTGCCGTGGAGTCGGTTCCTACCCATAGAGACCCTGTATAGTGTTTCCAAGGCTATCAATCTTTACAGGAGCAGAAAGCCTCATCTTTCTCCCACGAAACAGCGAGCAGTTTTGAACTGCTGACCTTGAGGTTCACAGCCCGATTCGTAATCACTACAATACCTGAGACCTGAGCTCCTTAGTTGTTGTTGTTAAGTGCCGTTGAGTCAGTTCCGACCCATAGCTACCCTGTACAGGGTTTCCGAGGGTGTAAAACTTTACTGGAGTAGAAGTACTCTCCCGCGGAGCGGCTGGTAGTTTCGAACCGCTGACCTTAAGGTTCGCAGCCCGATTCATAACCACTACACTACCAGAGCTCCTTAGTAGTGGAACACAAATCATTCGTACTACCCGGGGCCTTCCCTTGGAACCAGGGAATACAGTCACGCCAGTGACAATCTAATAAAGCATCAGGAACCTAGATGAATAGCCCAAGTTCATCAAGGGTCCAGGATGAAAATAACTACCAATATTCAACATAGACATCCTCAAAGATGGCCTACCAAAACTGGCCCCTCTGGCAGGTAACAATGAGCAGGTACTTTGAACTGGTTACATAGCTTTCAATAATGAGTGGGAAAGAGGTCTGAAAACAACTCACGGAAGTCTCCTTACTGGTGGTGGTGGTTATGTGCCATGGAGTCGGTTCCGACTCATAGCGACCCTGCACTGGGTTTCCGAGGATGTAAAATCTTTATGGGAGCAGAAAGCCTCATCTTTCTCCTGCAGAACAGCTGGTAGTTTCAAACTGCTGACCTTGAGATCAGCAGCCCAATTCGTAACCATTACATTACATTAAGGAGTTCTGGTAGCATAGTGGTTACGAATCGGGCTGCGAACCACAAAGTCAGCAGTTTGAAACTACCAGCTGCTCCGCGGGAGAAAGATGAGGCTTTCTACTCCCGTAAAGATTTACACCCTCAGAAACCCTGTACAGGGTCGCTATGGGTTGGAACCAACTTGATGGCACTTAACAACAACAACAAAAAAAAATTACCAGAGCTCCTTCCCTACTCTTAGAAACTGAGATTACAAAACCCACCACCCACCACCCCCAACCCAAGCCTATGACAGGGGGAGAGGGGAGAGGAGGACAAAGGACAAGCATCAAAATACTGAGGACCTTTTTTGTTTTGTTTTTTGAAACAAAGAAAGCCTAGAAGAGTCCAGCTGGGTAAAACACTTTTAAAAGGGAATCCCCCCCACACACACAGACACTACATGTCTTTTATTTCTAACCGTAGATTATATAAGGGCAGTTCGGGGGTGGGGAGGGGCCTGAAAAGTCTCTGGCAAGAAATGGCTTGTAAAAGGGTCACCAGACACCAACATTAACAGTCCAGCTCCTAAGAATGGCAAGATTCCCGTCTTGGCACATCCGATCACATGAGTCCCCTGGTGAGCCAACAGTGAGGATCACAGCTGATCCCCAAAGCAACCCAGGTGCCCATCTCCCCCAAAAAAGCATAAGTGGAAAGCCAGCTACAGGAATCCTCCACTCAGAAGAAGCAGGCCAGCAGGCTGCTGGCAGGCCATAAATTTATGAACACAAAGAAATGAGTTCTGTCACCATGACCCCTCCCCACCCCCCAGGGAAAAAAAGAGAAGAGTCTTTCAAAGCTGGAGTGGCCTGCTCACTCTCCTCAGACAGTGACCAAGATATGGAGGCCCAGGGCTGTTCCCGCAGGGTTATCAAGAGTGAACGTCCCACGCTTCACACCCCTGCCTACACCCGAGGTTTGCAGCGTGTTTTTTTCCTCTCCCATCCCCAGAGCCTTCCCTTTGCCTCCTCCCCATGAGCCTTCACTACCACCAGCTCTCTCAGGGGCTGCTGCAGGCTCTCACATCACTCTTATCAGCTTTTCCCACTCCACAACAGTGTGCGGAGGGTGGCATAACACAAACCCAGAAGATGCTGGCCTGCGAGGGTGTGGGAGAGTGGTTTTTCCAGTAATATAACCTTGATGTGCAGTCAGTTACAACCACAACCCCAGGGCAGAACAACCTTCCCTCTTCCATCCTTAGCTCACAGGGAGCATGCTGTAGCTGAAGCATGATAAATGAGACACAATTAACTAGAGCTGTAAAAGCAGCAGGAGTGGGGCATTGGGGGAGGGGGGGTGCAGCAAACAGGAGAAAAACCTTAGGCCACAGAAATCTCCACACCCAGACAAC